GATCTGTTGTATAAAGCGAGAGAGGCGAGCACAAAGGGAGTGAGCGAGAGAGGAGAGTGGCGAGCGAAAGTTTGAGGGAGAGAGGCGCTGGCAAACAGTTTGCTACAGGACATAATTAAATCAAAGTGTGATTATACCATTTAATTTGAATTAATAGTTTGCCATTATGTACAATTTTCCCTTTAAAGTTTCACCATTTTACAACTACTTTTTCTAGTTCCACTCCTTAATTTGGTTTGCCTTTTTATCTTATTAAATTTTCATTTATATAGAAGAATAGTTATATCGAAATTTTGTTTTGATTAATTTTTTATTTTAAATTTAAAAGCCTGGCTCGTAAACCTTATTTATTAATATAATTAAAAATTGAGTATATGTATTAATAGCGACCATGATTTGCTAGTTCTTGCGAATTTATTTAGATATTTTTATGTTAAATAATTATAAATAAAATTCATGTGCGGCTTTTTTTTTTTGGAAAATAAAAACATTTTATCATCCAAGTATTATTTACAACACTATATTTTCCAATGATGTTAGAATAGAAATAAAAACCACTGAATTGGGCATCCCCACCTTCAGCGTTATTTGCCTATACTACTAAACTCTTCGACTTATCTTATAGTTCTAGAATTCTTTTATGGATAGAAGCTCAGCTGCCTCAGACAGTTCTGGACACGTGGAAACATCGAGCCTCGATGAAACACTTCCTGAATTACATGTCGGATTATCGCTTTTGGTTCCCTTTGAACTTTTTGGAACCACCTCTTGTTCCTTTCTTCCCATACATGGTATACACAACTAGCTAACACTTCAACCTTGGAATTTTTCCCTTTTGCATTAATAATTTCTCAGCTAATCTCTTCACTCCATCCTTTAGGGGAATTTTGTATTCCTTCCCACTTCAATAAGTTGCCCCATACTTCTGCTACAACTGAACATTCAAAGAAGATATGAGAAATGCTTTCATCAGCATTCCCACAAAGGCAACAACGAACCTCTCGGTTGATGCCCCATCGATGCAATTTGTTCCTTGTATACAACTTCCCATGTATGGCGAGTAGAAGAATAAACTTCCATTTTCCATCCCCGTGTTATTGCATATCAACCTTCTCCAATCCATCTTATCGAAGTTTGTTCTCGTCACATGATACATCTTTCTTATCTGGAATTTGTCTAGCTGTGTGAACTCCTCCATTGTATATCGAGCTTCTTCAACATAATTCCTAGCCTTCAATATCTTTTGTACCACCCAGGACACTTGCTTTGCTTGCACTTCATCGATTGGTTTCCCTTGTATATAGTAGGTGTGCACCCACTTCACCCATAATTTATCATTTTTTATTGCACAGATTCCCCATGCAAAGACTTACAAATATCAGCTTTGTTCCACACTGTAATATTACTAAAATTTAACCCCCTGCTGACTTAGGTTTGCAAATGGTATCCTAAGCAAGGAGTGCTTTCTTTGATACTTCTTCCTTTCCTGTCCATAAGAATCTTCTACATATGGAGTCAATGAGCTTGACAATCTTCTTTGGTAGCACAAAAACTTGAGCCCAGAAAGTTTGTAAGGAGAATAAGATTTTTTTTATCAATTGCATCCTACCTGCATATGATAGGAACTTAGTTGTCCAGCTTGTAATTCTGCTTACTAGTTTGTCGATTAATGGTTGGCATTGATTAATGGCTAGTCTTTTTGTGCTTAGTGGAACTCCAAGATATCTAAAGGGTAGATTTCCTTTAGAAAAGCATAGATTCTCTGGTATTTGTCCTTGCAACATAGGTTGCACCCCTCCAAAATAATTGGAGCTCTTGCTCACATTAGCGGCCAGTCCATAAGCATTGAGAATCCTGGAAGCATTGGTAAACCATCTTGACAGATTGTACCTCTCCTTTGCAAAAAAGTAATAGATCATCGGCAAATCGCAATTGGACTATTTTGAGCTTTGCACATCTAGGGTGGAATTTGAATTCTTTCATATGTGTCATAGTTTTCAAGCTCCTGCAAAGATACTCCATAGCTATCACGAATAATGAATGGGGTCCTCTTGCCTTAAACTCCTTTTGGCATCAAATGGCTTCGTTTGTTTACCATTGATCACTATTGAGTAGGACACAGTTCTGAGACATGTCATTGTCCACTTTATGAACTGTGCGGGAAAGCTTAGCTGGACCATTATCTGCTCTAAGTAATCCCACTCAAGTGAGTCATATGCCTTCTGCATATCGATCTTCAGCATACATCTTGGCGAAATTCCTTTCCTTCCATAGCCCTTTACCAACTCATGAGTCAATAAGATATTATCTTGGATGAACCTTCCTGGTAAAAATGCAACTTGACTATTATCCACTAAGTAATCCATCACCTTTTGCAATCTCCCAGTGATTACCTTAGATATGATTTTGTACAGAACACTGCAACATGAGATGGGTCTGTATTCTCCAATGGTATTAGGATGTTGGACTTTGGGTATCAGTATTATAGATGTGCAATTCACAGCTTTGAACATCTCGGTTATACTGAAAAACTCTTGTGTTGCCTTGTATTATATCTTTGCCTATTATTGGCCATGCCTTTATAAAGAAAAGGGCATTGTATCCATATCCCCAGGTGACTTCTGATCATTGATCTCTTTTAGCGCTGATATTATCTCCTCCTTTGTGACTGGTGCTATTAGCTCCAACTGTTGTGTTCTTGTTAGTCTTGGTCCACTGCTCATTATATCTCTCCTTACTACTGATAACACAGGGTTTGATGATCCTAGAAATTGCCTATAAAATTTAATGGTTTCTGCTTCAATGTCTTCTGCAGTGTCAATTATATCTCCTGAATAGGTAGTCAACTTCCTAATTTGATTGCGTTCTTGTCTATTCTTCATGCAAGAGAAATATAATCTTAGAATAAAATAATCTATAAACACTATTTTTTTTTTGCAAAAAGAAATTAAAACCTTAATTCCCAAACAGAATTCAAACTATAGATCCAATACATTTTGATGGTATTAAAGGAAGCTGAAAAACTGAGAATAGACATGAAATAGAACAATGAATCAGCAACAACAGGTGTTTACAAGTTGCTTTTATTGAGAATCAACAACTAATAGTACATCAGTGGCTGCACAGAAGCAATGTTCGTATAGCCACCACTATACTATATGATGTTGGCTACGCAAGCATTGGTTCAGCACAGCCACGGATGTACTCGTTGATTCATATAGTATGATGGTGGCTATGCAAGCATTGCATCCGTAGTCCTTCTGTTCCCACATCACTCTTGCATCTGAGCAGCTAGTCATGTATATTGAAAAACACACAAACAATGTGGTATCTGTAGCCTCTATGCACTGTCCAAACAGTTGCCTTCCATTGAGGCTCACAATAGCAAGTGCATCTGATCGGCGATCAAAGTAATCAACAAAACCATAGGATGACTTGTCCTTCCTTATGAGATTGTATCCCTCAAGGGGACCGCGAGTGCTAGAGAAAACCTCTTGAACAAGTAGTTTCGTTACTTGTGGGTTGATGTTTCCAACATACATGCACACTCCAGCAAGTATGCATGTATGTTTAAAACATTAACTAACAAGTCACATAACCACTTGTTCAAGAGGTTTTCTCTAGCACCTGTGGTCCCCTTGAGGGATACAAGCTCATAAGTAAGGACAAATCCTCTTATGGCTTTGTGGGTTACTCTGATTGCCCTCAATAGAAGGCAATTGTTTGGATAGTGTATAATAAGTTTGAGTGGCATTGAACTATATATAAAGATGACCTATTATATCGTATAGTTCATTTGGAAAAATAATAAATTGCATTCCTAAATTATTTTGGAAAACAAATATATATTGACAATATGAAATATACATAGAGATGGACTACCATATTTCCTAGTTCATTGGGAAACTAATTAATGGCATTCCTAATTTGTGTTGGAATCAGATGTAATGACCATATTAAATATACATACACATGACCTACCATATTTCCTAGTTCATTTGGAAACATAATAAGTTTTATTCCAAATTTTCTTATAGAATCAGATTTTAGATATGGTTGTTATTTACTTACCTATATGAGTTAAATCCTTATAATTAAACCTTTTGTTTTGGGAAAATAGTTGTGGAAGGAAGTAAATGAAATACAATAAAAGTTAATTAATTATATAAATTGTATTAGATCACTAGAAAATTAAATAGAATTGTCATAGAAATATGTGGTTCTTTTTTCACATGATAATCAAATGAATGATGATTAGTGAATTAGTTTAATATAAAATGTCAATTTAAAACTAGTTTGACCAAACTTTTGAAAGAATCTAGGGGTCTTATATGTCCCCCAAGTTTATGATTTAAGTTGATATATCCCTCGCTAAAAAGTGATTCATATATACCCATATTGTTACATAAATGACCCAGATTTACCCTTTTTGTCTAATGGGTTTAATTTATTTATTTTTTGATATTTTATTAAAAAATAACAATCCATATATATAGGGTTATATTTTATCCTTCTCACTGTGAATTTTTTTACATCTTTGATTCAACGACTAATTTTGGTTTATTATTTTGATGGTCAAATTTATTTTTTCACCCATTGTCTTGTAAAATTTATCATAGATGCATGCCCCAATATTATTATTTTCATACAAAAAAATAAATTACAACATAGCCACAAAAAATTAATTTTAAATTATTTTTTTACTTTATTCTTATGCTTCATTCACACTTTTTTATTTGTATTTCTCATATGTTCACACTAAAAAAAAATAAGAATAAGAAACTCAAATAATGAAAAGCAAATAGATCTACTAGGAGATGTTGAAAACTCAAATTCGTCATGTCTTGGTGTCTGACATTGTTGTTTTAATATTTCCTTGTATTTTTATTTTGGTAATTTGTTTGTTGCCCCAAACATTGGTTGTGCTTGAATTAGATTGTCTCCTCTAGGTTCAAATAGAAGGGGAAGTTTAGATTTGGATTTTCTTCTGCTATTGCCCTGTTGTGCACCTTTGTTTGTGCTTGCCTTTCGCAAAAAGATTTTTCATTTCATTTAGTTAAAATGTAAAAAAAAAAAAAAAAAAAAAAATATATATATATATAGTTGTTCAATTCTTAAACTCAATCTTTTTAATTCAACTCCGGCTTACATTTGTGATTCTTCCAGTGAGGCATACCCAAGTAGAGATGTTCCTTGAAGGCTAAGGTTTTCAATTTGCAACTTCTGCAAAAAAGAATTCTCTACTTCACATGCACTAGGGGGACACCGGAACACTCACAAACAAGAGTGGGCATTAGCTAAACGGCGAGATGGACTTGAAGATGGTGTTTCACCTTTTGTCCCTCTCAATATCATCCTTACTATAATCCCTACTCAAATTTCAACTCACACATGCTATTTCACAATCTTTTTACTATTCAATCATCATTTGGTATTTGGAGAGATTCTTCCATGATTCATAAGTCTATTTCCTATCAGACATGATCATTTTCTTCAGGCTACAATTATTGTGAAAAACTTCATTGTATTTACGAGCTATAACAGTTTTCCCACATCAATGATTGGACTAAAGCTACGAAATTTAGTAGATGTGTATTATTTAAATTTGGATTTATTTATGGCTCAATCATTTTTTTCATCGCAAACTTAGTGTTTAAAACAAAGTGGTTAACATTAGAAGTTCAAGAATCAATAACATTAACATTACTAGAGTAATTTTTTTATGACATTAACATTGCTATAATAGTGAAAATAATAGATTATTATTATATAAATCATTTATCTAAGATATGAATGTTAGATTGTAAGCTAAATGTTGATCAATCAGATGATATATATTGTAATTTGTTGTCTCTTAAAAATATTTGGATAGGGAAAAAAATTGTTCTTGTATGTATCAAAGATATATAGAAATGACATCCACTACTTAAAAAGAATTTGTATTACTAAATTTAATGAGATGATTTTTAACCTATACATTTACAAATTATGATTAATCTTGCAATTGTTTCTTCATTAAGAAAACTTCAGATAAATACAGCATAATCATAGAAAAAAATAATCTCTAAACCATTAAAATTTCTTCATGTGAAAGGAAAAATTGACGCTCGACAAATAGGACAATCCCTCTTCCTCAACAACCAGTGTTTGATGTAGTTGGCGTGATATTCATGTCCGCAACAAAGTGCACCAATGGTCTCTTCATGCTTATATTATGCCTGACAAATGACACAAATATCTGTTGATAAAAGGAAGATAGTATACCAAGCTTGTCCCAGCAGCCAGGTTTGGTCCTCCGGGTAGCAACCTGGCCGGTATACACCCCACAGAGAAAATTGGGTTGTGAGGTGAGTAACTATATTCAACAATCATTTTTTCATCTGGGCGCCTATTCATTCTTTTTTGGGGTGTATAAAGCCACGGAGCAATTCAGGCATCTATCTTATTGTATTGATGCAATTGGAGAAGGGTTGCGAGCTCAAACGAATAGAGTTCTATCTTTTCTCTCTTTCGGTCGAGTGAGTCACGTGCGTTCAAATTAAAGTTAAAGAAGAGATAGTAACTCGACCTTAGGCAGAGGTTTGAAAATTTCTCTTTCAATTGAGCTGATCACCTCCCTTCGCTAGTTAGAGTTGTGCTCTTCCTCTTCAATTTTGTGGGATTATTTATGTTTTTAGGTGCAAAAACATGATTAGTTCTTATTTTGACATACCTCATTGTTACTTCCTCATCTTGAAGAAGATGTGAAGTCCCTCCTCTTGTCACCAGAAAGGGGTTGATTGTTGACGGAGAATAATATGGAGGATCTCCCCAATTTTGTGAGGATGGATCTTGAAGATTGTCTACTAAAGCAATTGTCCTTAAGAGAATATTTATTGAATCATGATTACTCATGTTAGTTATAACAACACCAGAATAATGAGTAGGTGAGTTACTCATTGTTCAATAACACTAATTCAAAGAACAAATTAAACAAAAACTAGAAATGCTTTTGAGTTCTTGTAAGGAAAATTAGCAGCAGAAATAATGTATAATAGGTTTGACTGACACTGAACTCGTAGTAATTGTGTGGTGTAATCATGCTCTACAAATCAATTCTTCTTTGTTAAATTAGTTTCAATATGTACCAATACTTAAGAGAAGTCTAGTATCATGTTAATATCAACTGATACATGTAATCTGAATGTTAGGAACACACCTTTGTATCAGCCCGCCCTAAGTGTTACGCCGCAAGCCTACACCCTAGACGTGGCTGGCACTTGAGAACCATCACTGGTCCCCAAGCAAACCCTTGGCCTAGCTGACTACCTAGCGGAAAACTTGCTCAAGCAAAATGGGAACTCTAAGTGGAAATATTAACTCAAATTGTCTCAACAATAACTCAACTCAGTAAATGTCTGAAATGCTTAGTTAAACATAAGTAAGTGACTCAAAGTCTCAAAACATCAACAAGAGAAATAGTGAAAGACTACACAACTACTAACTATCTCTGAAGCCTCTAAATACTATGATAGATGTTGAGACAAGACCCTCAACAACTTAACAAAACAGAAATAATAATGTGAATCCCTCTAGAAAGCAAGGAGGCTCACCAAAGCTAGGTGGAGTGCAAATGGTATCAAAGAAGCACATGTTGGTGACCTTGAATTATTGTATCTACCTCATAAATATGATGTAGGTCGAATGAAATCAGTACATTGAATGTTTGAGCATGTAGATAACTGAGTTGATAACATGTGAAACAATACTCACCTCAACTGAACTCCTATATGAAAGCAACAATAAGAGATGCAATATTTAAAGTTTTTAAAACGGTAGATATCAACTCAAAATGTATAAATATATAATAACATACTATTTACTCTTATTTGGGAGATTTTCTAAACGAAAGTCATCACTATGAGCTATGTGATGATACAACATCTCGCCCACACTACCAAAATTGTTCTATACCTTTTCGGGGTATAGAACACCTCAACCGAGTTGACCCACTAAGCTATGCTTAAAAGCAACAAGGAGTCATCTAAAAAGTATGATCATTTACCCATGTTGGCTCATGGTTTATGGGGAATGTGAGTTGTATGAACTCATCCCATATCGGTGCTCAATACTACTCCCAATAATATATGAACTCATGCTCAAATGTATAAAACATAAATCTTTCTCAATTTGAGGTAAGTACTCAAAATATCCTCTTAAAAGAGGTAATACTTTGAAACGTCTTTGAACTCATAAACTCATTTAAAAATCAGTGTTTCCCTTTTTTAAAATGTAAAAGTGTTACATTTGGGAATACTTAGTTCCCTTATACTATTTTTCAATCATGAATAAAACTCTTCTCATTCACATATTTACTTTCTCAAGACTTAGTTCAAAACTATAATTATTTGCAACAGAATTTTCAAAATGACTCAAAAGTATCTCTTGAACTTTCCTCTTTACTTTAATTTGAAATGTAATTTAATACATGTGATTAGGACATGTAGGATCTATAAAGTATTAATGAATACTTTAAGAGTTAATATTGAGAAGAGAATGTAGA